TACTAATATATAATGTTATACAAATAAAGAAATCTAACTAATAAACTAATATAATAATGCTAATAAAAATATATATATATAAATTAAGAAATAAGGTTAACAATGTATATAAAGGACTAAATTTCTCTTTACTCAGTTCTCAGTTCTTTAGTTAATCCTTAGTTCAGTTCAGTTCTTATTAATAAAATACTTTGTGATTTACCTTATAAATAATAAATACCTTAGTAGATTATTATTTATACTGTTGTTATTTCGAAGTAAAATTCTATATTATTCCTTGGTAGAATATCAAAACTCTTGTTGAATTATACTTTATTTTGTGATCTTGGTATATCATTTTTGTATTATAATTTACTATTTAGTATTAGAAATTATCAGTTTAGTTTAGTTAAAATCCTTATAAAAATCTCATAGCCTTGCTTCTTTTGAACAAATCTGCAATATCTAAATCCTTCAACCATTATACTTTTTATAGTATAAATTAGTTAATAGTAATATATTTTAGTTTAGCTACCATACCTTTAGTTAATAGTTAATCGTATCCCTTAAAGGTCAGATCACAGTCAACAACATAATGCACAACAGGCAAGTGGTAAAATAATTTATAACAGAAGAGATGTTAAAGGTAATTATGTTATTTTTAATATTTACAATTTAAATAATCTAATTATTTATTCTTTATTTAAAGGTTATTCATATAACCAATAATTGCTTTCCATGTTGTTAAAAAAATACAAAAAACAAAAACAAAATATGGAGATGAAAGAATTATTAGAAAAGATAACTTTGATTTAAGTTCACAGCAAATAGAATATGCTATTTTAATTGTTTTTATAGAAAAATTGACATGTACTCTTGAGGAACAAGATATACTACTCAATATTACAATTGATGGAGATTTAAATTCTAATAAACATTAGGTAATATTGGAATTATTAATTAAATTTTTGTTGACTTGAAGTATCTTACAAAAAATATTTGTAAAAATTGTAAATAAAATATTTGTTTTTATTAATATGCAAATAATTTAATATTAATAAATTTTTTTTTAATAATTATTTAGTAAAAAAATATACAAAATGCAAGAATTTGAATAACATATTATGAATTACTTTTTAGCATGTATATATACTGCAGGTCTTAGAAAAACAAATGAAAAAATTTATAATCTTCAAGAAAAGGATATTTGATACATTCAAATAGAAGGTTTATTATAATATTTATGTAACAATCATGATTTATGTTGGCAAGAAATATATTGGATTAAACAAAATCCTAAAATTCAACTTTGTGAATTCACATTACAATTATATACAAATATTGAATATAACAATTCAAAATGATGTTAGAATCTATTTTCAAGCTTCCATTTGAACAAGGAATTAATACTATACTTGCACATAAAATTATTTTGAGATCCTGAAATTGCAATTTTGAAGAAAAAAGTTGAAATAGTTTTTCATAGAAGACAAAATTATTTTACTTAAAACCTGAAATTTTTTGACCACCCAGATTTATTCTTTGATTAAATATATACATAACTGGGTACTTTTTTTACTTCTGTATATAGAATAGATTTTGCATAAATCTCAAAAAGTCGAAATACCTCAAAATCCAAAATCAATTTTGGAAACATGTATAATTAATACTATAACACAATCTTTTCAAAATAAGGCTTTTAATATAGTTAAACTTGTTTATACATCAAAATTAATTAATTATTCTGTTTCATATCAATCAAGATATGCACTTGCAATTTTATATAATAATGAAGGAATTTGTGAAATATTAAGAATAGCATGTCAAGTTTATAATATTCTTTTATTGCATCAGGACCTTTTAAATATATCCAAAATTGAAAAAGAACATAATCAATATTGAATAAATAATATAAGCCAGATTGAGAAACATAATGCTGAGTGTGCATTTACTTTACAGAATTTATGTAATGAGCTTGATTCTTTTGATTGGGATCAAGTAATTATTATTTTTTTTTATTAAAAAATTTTAACATTTATTATTAATTTTTTAATTTAAATTTTATAGGAACTCATAGCTTATGGTAAAAAAACCCAAGAACAAATTGGATCTAACAGTTTTCAACCTTCATTTTCTACACTTATTCCTGATTTCAATGAAAAAAACAAATGTATTGCATGTCATTCATTTCCAAAGTGTACTGCTAGAGGTCTTTGTCAAGTATGTGGATTTTATATTGATAATAATTTAAAAATCAAATAATCGATAAAAGTTATCAACCAAAAAATGAAATTTCTAAAAATATTGATTTTGAGATTATGTGTAAATCAGTACTTGAAGGAATCTTTCAATTTTCAGAGTTTCAGAATGGGCAAAAAGAAGCAATACAATCGTTTATCCAAAATAAAGATACTTTTGTTCTGAAACAAACGGGAGGTGGCAAAAGTTTGTGTTATGCTTTAGCATTAGTAATAGTATCAGGAATTACCATAGTATTTTCTCCACTGAAGGCATTAGTAGATGATCAAGTATCTGAATTAATCAAAGTAGGAATATCTTGTTGTGGTCTCTATGCATCAACAGCACAACCAATACATTATCAACAAAAAGTTTTTCAAAAATAGAATGTGGACTAATTCAAGTAATTATTACAACACCTGAAAAATTCAAATTTAATATTGGATTCCAAAAAATGTCGGAACATATAGGAAATACTAAAGGAATTCGATTTGTAATAGATGAAGCACATTGCATTCTAGATCGAGAACATTTTAGGTAAGATTTTAAATAAATTAATATTTTCAAATAAACTTTTATTTATTTTATTTATTTTATTTAGAGATTCTTGGAATTATTTATATAATTTGAAAAAAATCTTTCCAGCTGTACCAATTTTATTGTTAACAGCTACATGTCGAATTGTTGATACACAAGAAATTGCATTACGTCTTGGAATAGATTATCAGCAAATGTTATTGGTTCGGGATAATAATTTTGAAAAATTCAATTATTTTTCAAGTACAAAAAAAAGACAATTTTTAAATGATATTTTAAAAATTATTAATGAAATCGAAGTTGGAAAATGTATAATTTATTGCATAACTATAAAAAGATGTTAAGAATTATTGACTAATCTTCAAAGAAAAGTTTCAAAAGAAATAATTAGTATATATCATGATGAATTACCAGCTAAAGAAAAATCCAATGCACTTTTATTGTGGAAAATGGGAAAGATTCGAATAATTGTTGCAACCAATGCTTTTGGTATGGGAATAAATGAACCAGATGAGCAGTTATTCATGCAGGATTTCCGATTTCCATTGGTAAGGATATATAACAATATAGTAATAACATATATATATAATAATTATAATTTTATTTTAGGAAATTTAGTACAAGAAAGTGGACGTGCAGGTCGTGATGGATTACCAGCAAAAGCAATTGTTTTTTTTAATAGAAAAGATATTAAAACAGTTATGGGAGTTTATATGGAAGGACAAGAAAGGTAAATACTTATTTATTTTATTTAAAATAATAAGATATATATTTAAACTTATTTACAATTTTAGAAAACGAAGTAGCCACCTTAAATCGTATTAAATATTTGTCTGATGCAAAATGTAAAATAAGAGAAGTATTATTTTATTGTTCAACATTATATCAATGCCGTTACAAATAATTATCAATCATTTTACCTGGCCAGAAGATTCTACACCTCAAGAATGTCAAATTTGTGACAATTGTATTAGGCATACAGTTGATAATCCAATTTACGTTGACATTCAATCAGATATGAAAAAAATGTTAGAAGTTATAGACGAAATTACTAAAACTGAATATCAAATTACTAGAAATAATATTATAGATGTATTTAGGCAATCACAAGCGAAGGATGTTAAAGATAAATTTGGTTCTCTGAAAATATATCAAGAAAATTTGCAAGAAAATTAAAAACAAAAGAGGAAGATTTTTTGTTACTAGATGATTTGATATTACGTAAATTAGTTGAAGATGATATCATATTGAATAGGTCTTCAACCGGTCAAACTTATTCTTGCAGTATATTTATTTTTGGTATTGTTGAAAATGCATTAGAAAAAGCTAACGGGCAAAATTGAAATTATTTCATTAAAATAAAATAAATAGCAGTAAATATTGTTTTAAATATCAATTACTGTACTATGTAAAAAATATAAAAAGTCGCCTCAGTTCAAAGTGAAGAATTTATTTTTTTTTACTCATCGTTAAAAATGATTTGTTAAATTTATAACTATATGTAGTGTAACCAGTCCTAAATCTAATGACTGTTTTGTTACAAATGCGTTTTTAAGAAATGCGTTGTTTTCCGATCAACGTAAATCCGACCTGATAATGACAAAATTCATTTACAATTATATTCTTTAAAGAAACGTTCTTTAAATACGCGCCGTTAGTTTCTAATGATTTACATTTTTGGGGAAACTGAAAAATATGAAATCTCATCAGACTTAATATAATTACAACATTGTTAATTATTGTAATAATTATAACCCAATCATAGAAAAACTTTGGATGATAATTTTTGATATTTTTTTTTGATTTCAGGAATTCAGAATTCAACAATGAATTCTTTTCACACACCCACACACCTTCCAAACGTGAATTTGTACGGGTCTAAATGCAGGAAGCTAAATTAAGCAATAAATATCACGATTAAAAAACCAGAATTAGATACTATAATGATGCTGAACAAAGACTTTTTATTCGTTCGCGGTCTAATGAGTTTGAGTGAACTTCCTCCCAAATAAGTGCTGTATTCTTTGTATTTCATAATAATAAATAGAACACACAATTATTTGAGTGGGAATAAATTACATTTATTTTAACAAAATTCTTGATCAAATTATTTTAATTTGTACCCATATCCAATTATTTGATATAAACTTTCCAAGATATCTTCTAAAATGCCTAAAAGAAAATCATATACAAAAAATGCTTGCACCAATTGTGCGCATGCTAAAAGAAAGTGTGAATGGGATATAACTGAATATTGCAACCGTTGCATAACCAGAAATGAATTTTGCATTTTAAAAATTCATTACAAACGCGGTCGGCCGAAAGTACAAAAAACCAATTCTTATGCATAAACCATAAATTCAGTGAAGCTGAAGGTTTGTTATAATAGAAATTAAGCGATGTTTATTTTTTATTTGTTAATTATGACTAATTATTACTTGGTAATTTAATATTAGTTCATATCTCCGAATTTCAGTAAAGAAAATGATATGCAGATCATTTTAACACTTAAATACCAACATCCATATTTATTTGATCAACCCCTTGCCCACGTAAATTTAAATTAGCAATTTTTAACTTTTTTATCTAGATTTTGAGTATATATTTTCATTTCCTTGAAATGTGATATTTTTAATTATGGACAATTATTTAAATTTTGTATGTTTAATATGAAATTATAAGTAAAGATCTATGTTATTGGAATTATGTATATTGTATGCGATAAAAAAAACAAAAGCATGTTTGAACAATTAGGTTAATAACCAATTTTGGGTCATGGAACGAAGTTTAAACATCACATTAATAGAATTTTCTTTGATATCGCAATTTTATCATCACAACTATCTCCGATATTATGCATTGATCTTTATTTAAATATGGGAGCTTGAAAAATAATATGTTATATATTTATTCAATAAGACCTTGAATTTTTAATCTCATTGAATGAAAAAAAATTTATTCCTTGGATTATAGAGATTGAACTTATTGAATTTCAAAGTATAGGTTTGTTCACGATTTTTACCTTGTACACACTTTTGTCTCAAGACTTTAAATGAACATTCTTCAATAACACAATTGACGTAAGCATAGAGAAATAAATGAGTTTAATCAAAATATTTTAAAACTTGAGTCAAAGGTATTTATGACATTTGTAAAAATTATTGGATTGTTATTATTTTAATATTATTACAATACGAAATTTTTGGGGCAGTTATATTGTGTCAATCACTTGAAAAATTAAATTTCCATCTTTGCTTATTATAAGGCAACCGCGTAATTAATTACTGGTGCAAAATTGGTATAGATGTGATTCTTTTCCAATTTCGCACAACCTAGTATCTAAATAGAATAAGTGATATAGATGCCGCTTATTTATATCTTGTTTATTATCTTACTTTAGTATATCGTAGAAATGGATTTTATTTTTTTTTCAGCGGAATCTAAACCTTCAGATAAAGCGAAAGCTGATCTCCCGTCGCCTTTCGGGAATTGGAACGGAGTTTGTGACTAATCTGTTTCCAGCCAGCGTAACGATGGGTCGTTGCGGTAACCTCGGCATAAGATTTAGTTTTAGCAAGCTCTCCCACGTGTTAATTGTTTTAATAACTTTCATTTTGTAACTTTTTATAATATAATAAATTTCGTTGAGCGAGACTCCGTTGTGTGGATGCTCAATGATTAGTACGCTTTTTCCCTTCTCATTCATTAAAATGATTGAGTGAATAACACAATTATATATTAATTTCCTTAGAACTTCTGAATTTTTACGGGATTTATCTAACGGATTTTTTTTTATGATTGTGATTGTCATCTGGCACATGATACGCGTAATCATTTCCCATATAATATAAAAAACTATTCTGCCCCATTAGTTAACAATGCAAACACATTCTTTCGAACTCTTTCCTGATCGTGGGTTAATTCACATTTTCTTATTTAGTGAAGTAAAAAATTCATCCGAATTAAGAAAACGGTTATTATCTCACGATACGGAGTTATCTTATGCTTTCATTAATGCTCGAGTGGTATTTATTATTATTATTATTCTCCTTTCAAATATTCACACTGGCTGACCATCCTTTTGTGAAATTATTAATTTTATTTTTTTTTATTTAATAGATACTTGATGTCTTTCAATTATTAATTGCCATTAATTGTGCTTTACATAATGAAAAATGTTCAATATTAAAAACTCGTAATATAAATTCGGAAATTGTATATAATCTTTCTCCCAATACAAATGTAAGTAAAAAACGTTTAGTTAAATATTTATTTTTCTGGATAATTTGTATATATATATTATTATGATATATGTATTATACATAGATCAATGAAGCATTAAGAAGGTTTGGAATTTCCGATGATTCAACTAACATTATTGTTGTTAAAGTTGGAGGAGAAGCTAATGAGGTAATTTTTAATATAATTAATTTTTTCTATTATTAATAAATAATAATAATAATATATTAAGAATTATATATTTTTATTTTATTTTTTTATATTAAAAACATTATATTTATTTATCAAACAGATAAAATCCCATCTAACTTCATTAATTCAAGGTACGGAAACTTCATTAGAAAATCTTTTTAAATTTGGTGATTTGGGAATTATCAAAAAAGTAGGTTTACCTCCTTCACTCTCAATACATCTCAACATTACATTCCACTCTCAAAATATAATTAATATATTAAAATATAATTTTTTTTATAGTATTATAGAGTTGATAATAAGGTTAATGATGTTAAAGAAATTTTAAATATTATTGTTGGATCTATGGCTGTTAAAAGTGTTAGTTGAAATTATGATCAAGTAAATATATATATATATATTACTTTGTATATTCATTAATAAAATAATAAAATGTAAAAAAAAATATGCAATTAAATAATTTCAATTTATTATTATTATTGTTATTGTTGTTGTTATTCAATTTTATCATTTTTTTCTTCAACCACAATATTATTATTAACACCATTATTATTAACATCATCCTTAACACTATTACTATTATTAAAATTGTCATTATCAACACTGTTATTATCATTTAAAGCAACAAAATTTCTAGTCATCAAATTAAACATACTTCCAAAAAATAGAGCAATCACAGTACAAGTTAATGTGATAACATTATAAGGCATACTAAAATCTGGAGTGGGTAAACTAACTAAAAGTGTTTCAGTATATATTCTAATTGGAAAATGTAAACACCCTATTCTTATTCCTCCTTCTTCCTTTTCTATATTATTATTATTATTATTATTATTATTATTGAGAGAAGGACAATCCCTATTATTAAAAAAATTAAATTATTATAATATAAAATTATTATAAAAATTATTATATTATAAAATTAAATTATTATTGATATTAAAAATTATTATGTGAAATTATATTACAAAAAAAAAAAAAATACCTACCTGAAAGTAGTTAGATTTAAATTATTTAAATTATCCAAATATATAGTTGAGATTACAGCAGATCCTATATCAAATCCTCTATTAGCATCAGGAGGATGTTCTGTGTACTTTAAAAAAACTTTATCAAAATTAATTGATAAAGTGGTTAAGGAATTTGGTGATAAAATGATTTTGGCTTCAATCACATTTGGTCTAAATCGATCAACTGCTGGTTGATAATATAATTCCTTAATTGGATTTTCTTATTTGTTAATATTAATAGATATTTAAAGGTGAATATATAAATAAATAAATAATAATTAAATAATGAATAAATAATGAATAAATAATGAATAAATAATGAATAAATAATGAATAATAATAAATAAAATCAATAAATAATCAAGTGAATAATTAATTAATTAATAAATAAAATACCTGTATCAGAATTCACATCTTGATCATTAATTTGAATTTTAAGTGTATAAAGATATAACTTCAAATACCAAGGAATCACATCATAATATATAATTGGTATAGAAATATTAGGACTTTTGTTAAAGATGTTTACTTTTATTCCTCCTCTTTCTTGACCATAACCTATTTTTTTTATATTATTTATGAAAAGATATGAAGATATGAGATTATTTAATTATTATTGTTATTTTTTTTTATAATTATTGATCTGACAGTTTTTTTTAAAAAAAAATTTACCTGTAAAATATCGATGAGCAAAAACAAGTGGTTTCGTGTGATTAAGATCTAAAAATAAATTGAAAAAATTGAAATGAAATTGAAATTAAATAAAATAATAATAATAATTTTTTTTTTAAATATAAATAATAAATAATTATTATACCATAATCAAATTGATCTTCATTCCATGTCATTGATAAATCTGAATTTACTAATTGAGCTAAACAAAAAAAAAGGAGGGAAAAAAAATCCCAATTAATTAAACAAATTAAATAATTAAATAAAAATTAAATAAATCAAATAAATTAGATAAATTAAATAAAAATTAAATAATTAAATAATTCTCAATAAATAAATAAATAAATAAATTAATAAATAAATGAATAATGATAAAAATAATAATTAATATAAATAATAACCTTTCTTTAAATCATATACAGCTATCTTCTCATCATCCGGAGTTCTTCTAGTGATAATATTATTGTTATCAGAATTCGCTTCCGGATTTATTTTATAATCACCATTTTCTGGTAATATTATTTCAAGATTACTTTCTTCAGCTAAAGGACATGCATTTGAAAGTTGTCTACCAAAAATTTGACTTAATGACCAATCTTATAATAATAAAATAATAATAAATAATAAATAATAAATAATAAATAATAAATAATAAACAATAAATAATAAATAATAATAAAAATGTAATGAATAGAATTAACTATTCATATATCATAGATTATCATCAACCAACCTCTTTTGCCTGAAACCCTAACAGGATCAACAACTGTAGAAACTGTTTGTAATATTTCTAATTGTTGACTTAAACATTCTGGATCCTAAAAAAATATATATAATTATAATTAGAATTTAAATATAATTAGATTTGTAAATCATAAATAAATTAATAAATAAATAAATACCTCACACAATGGTCGAACATGAATTGACATTGAATGAAAATTAGAATCATATAATTTATGTCCATTCAAAAGTGATGCAATACCAGACTTTTTAAAATGAATCAAAAAAAAGATTACATAATAATTATTATATTACAAGATTCAAAGAAAAAAATAAAAAAAAAATAAAAAAATAGAATAAAGAAATACCTTACCCTAGATTTACAAGGTAAAAGTTTAATCCAAGGAGTCAAATTTTCGGTACAGACATTTTCATGAGGTAAAGATCCTGATCTTAATTCTGCATTATCAAACAATTCTGAAGCTAAAAAAAGATTAAATTAAATTAAATTAAATTAAATTAAATTAAATTTTTATTCTGAATTATTTTAAATTAATTAAATTTCATTTTGAAATAGAATTTTAATTTAATGAAATAAATACCATTATAACTTCCTTCAGGTCTAAAAGATAATTTTGGTTGAACAGTAATTGTATCATCTATAAAATTTAATGAAGCACAAAAAAGTCCAGCTAGAGCATTTGTCAATGATTTCCAATTTTTATCTAACCTGGTAATAATAATAAAATCAATAAAAATTATTATGAATATTATTATTATTATGTATGAATAAAAATGGCTATTATTATTATTGTATAAAAAAAATTACACACTTTCCATCTTTCCTTAGCCAAGCCCAAAGTTCAACTCCAGTTCCTGCTGAAGGTACAATTGGATATCCCCAATCTTCATAATTCCATTTTCCTTGAGTAAATGTTAAATGTAATTCTCGAGCATTATAACTTTGTACAATTTGTCCAATCGCCCGTGGAAAGTAATTGTAATGCTTAACTATATATAAAATTCATTAAATTCATTAAATTCATTAAATTCATTAATTCATTATTATTTAATTATTTAATTGAATAAATTTATAAACAATAATTAATTATAAAATTTAATAATAATAATATTTAATAAACTTACATGAACCTTCTTTATTATTTTTTTTAAGTTTAACACTGAACTGAAAGTGGGTTAATAATTTTCCGTCCGAAAGAGGTTTAATAATTAAAGTTTCTTTAAACTTTTCATCATAAGGATAATAATTATAATTATAATAATGTGGTAAAGTACTTTTATTATTATCATTGTTATTATTATCACTAGCAAATGTAATTGATGATGTAATTGTTATTATGTTGGTAATGGTTATTATTATTATTATTATTGATGTTATTGATATGAACGGGGAAAAAAAAGTATTAAACACACGAAACCACATTATTTTATATAAAAAATTTATATCTAAAGAATAATATTAATTGTTATTTATTTATTAGGAACATGTATGACAATATCTGATCTGCATAATGTAATAAAACGTGTTGATGAATTAAACTATGCCACGATGCCCAATGATCACGAAATGTTTTTTAAAGATTAGACTTAACATCCTCTACAATCTTCTCTTCTCTTCACATTCTTACATTTCCTTTACTCTATTTTTTTTTTTTTTTTTTTTTTTACTTCCTCATTAATTCAACAATAGTAAATTTGAGGGAAGTTACGTGAACATGCCGAATTTGTGATATTCATATTTAAAAATTTTTGATGTTCTTTTGTGCCACATACCTAACAAACATACACATAACTTAACACGCACGTTGACATACATACATTCTTAGATATAATCTTATAAATACTGAACTGCAAGACCATCTATAACTATATCTATATCCCACATACATATATATAGAAAAGATAGAATTCTATATCGACACATATATTTATATAAATAATTTATTTTTTTTTAAAAAAAAAAAGAAAATGAGTTTGATGTCAGAAAAAGCTACAGACGATTCAGATTTGCCACAACGTAATATTTGGGCACAAATTGGAGCACATAAAACTAATCTAGACAGGGTACGCTTTAGATCTTTGTTTTTTTTTTAAAGAAAATCTTTTAAATATCATAATTATTATAATTAATATTAATTTTTATAATTATTATTAATTATTAATAATTAATTAATTTTTATTTATTTACTTATTTATTTATTTATCAATTAATTTATTTGTTTGTTTATTTTCATAAAAATAAAGCGATACCAAAAATTTCTTGATGAAGCAACTCCATATACAGTGCAAAGATGGTTATCAACAACGTTTTTACTAGCATTATTTATGTTTAGAATTTTTCTGGTGCAAGGTTTTTATATAGTGACTTATGTAAGTATCAATTCTTTATTTTGACGAATTTTGTTTATAATTTTTTTTTATTATTCACAATTTTTATTTTATTTTTTATTTTTTTTTTAAAATTAGGCATTAGGAATTTATCTTTTAAATTTATTTTTGGCATTTTTACAACCAAAATTTGATCCTTCATTGGAAATGGATATTGCCGAAAGTAATGCAGAAGAAGAAGGACCATCGCTTCCTACAAAAGCTGATGAAGAATTTCGTCCATTCATTCGAAGATTACCTGAATTTAAGTTTTGGTAAATTATTTAATTATAATAATATTATTCTTCTTCTTCTTTATTATTTTTATCATTTAATAATAATATATGATTATTTTATTTAAATAGGTATTCCTCAACCAAAGCAATTACTATCTCTATGATTTGTACATTCTTTTCCATGTTTGATGTTCCAGTATTTTGGCCAATACTTTTAATTTATTTCAGTATTCTTTTTGCAATTACTATGAAAAGGCAGATCAAACATATGATAAAATACAAGTAGGTTTTATTATTTAATTAATTATTAATTAATTAATTTATTTATTTTATTTATTTAATTCATTTATTTAATTAATTTATTTATTTATTATTAATTAATTAATTTATTTATTATTTATCTAAATAGATATGTTCCATTTGATATTGGTAAAAAGAATTATAATAATAAAAAATAAAATTAAAATAATAATAAAATAATAATAATAATATCATTAGATAGATCAGATGTAGCAAGTAATATGTATGTGTAATAATAAATACAGTATATTTAATAAAAAAAAAATTCATTCCTTCTTTTTTATTATAATAATTATTATAATTTCTTTAAGCAATAGATTTTTATTTTTAAGTAAAATGATATACAAAAATATATTGATTGAATTTGTTTATATTACAATTAATTAATTAATTATTATTATGTGTGTATATATATTTTTATTTATTTAACAGATAAAAGTTAATTAATAATTATTAGAATGATGATGATGATAATAATAATATTAAATAAAAAATTTAATGATATAAATATTTATATAATATAATATATTTATAATCTAATTATTTATTTAACCAATTCGTTATTATTCTTGAACAATATTGTTTAACATTATTAGCTTTACGTGTTTGCCATTCACCTAATGAAATTAAAATTCGTGTATAATAAATACATGATTCCTTATAAAATTTTACATGCATTCGTAATTTTATGGTTTTCTATTATAATTAAATAAATAAATAATTAATTAATTAATTTAATTAATAAATAGAGTATTAATAAATAATTAATAAATAATTAATAAATAATAAATAAATAATAAATAAATAATAAATAATTAATAAATAATTAATAAGGTTACCTCCAATTTAGATTGTGATTTTAATAGATAAGAATATTTATTATAATGATATTGTATTAAAAATGCTTCGGGTATAACCCATAAATTTGCACCTCGGAAAAAAATCTGTAATAAACATGTGGCTTTACTACTTTCATAATCATCGAATCTTTCTGTGCACCTAATAATTAAATAATATATATTAATTAATAATACTTAATAATAATAATAATAATAATAATAATAATAATAATCAAATGAAATAATATAATCAATAATAATCAAATATAATAATCAAATATAATAATTAAATTTAATAATAAAAATTACCAAGGATTAATACTTCCTTTCTTCATGATAAAATTAGGTTGATAAAATAATTCAAATTCGGCAATTTTATAAATATTCATCTTCATCCATTTCCCAAAATCCGTTGGTCCTTCATTTATCGGCCACCCAATATCTTTAATTCCCATGGCTTTCCGTTGAACCAATTTCATCAATTCCCCAAGGTTTTGAGGAAATTTCAGGCTCGTGGCATTTTCGGTAAATTCGAATGTTGGTAAGATGATGACATCATCTTGTAATAATAAATCTTGGTGTTTTTTGATTTGAGATCTAATCTTTGGTGATGATGGCCAAGTATCTGGATTTAAGAATAATACAAATTCTGTACGCGCGAAGAATCTTGCGACATTAAAATGAAAGTTGGTAGGTTTGGAATAATAATGAAAATTATTATGATTATCATTGGTGTCATTATTATTATTATTATTATTATTATTATTATTATTATTATTATTATTATCATTATTATTATTATTATTATTATTATTATTATTTTTAATATCATTATTATTATTAATAGTATCATTATTATTATTATTATTAATGGTGGTGGTGTCATTACTATTTATCTCAATCTCATTATCATTTATCGTATTATTATTATTAATCTCACTATTACTATTTATCGTATTATTATTTATCTCATTATTATTTATCTCATTATTATTATCCTCTTCTCTATTGATTATCACATTATTATTAATAGTATCATTATTATTATTATTATTATTATTATTATTATTATTAGTGTCATTATTATTATCACTAATAGTGTTATTATTATTAATATTATTAATAGTGCTATTATTATTATTATTATTATTATTATTATTATTATTATTATTATTATTATTATTAAGATCATCCACTGTATCATTCTTACTCCTCCTATTCTCATATTTATTCTCATTTTTATAATAATTATTAAAACCAAAATCATTATAATCCTCCTCATCATTATTATTCACAAGTCCAATCACCAAATGAATATCAACATTACGCCTTATAATTGGATTTCGCTTGTAAAGTTGTTTATAATTATAAAGCATTTCACTTATTATCGGATCTGTATCATTTAAAGTTTTGGTTGGGACATGTAAAACTGCTGATATTGGACCTGAATGAATAATCAATATTGATATATATATATATAATGATTAATAATTTAATTAAATAATTATTATCCCGATCTAATAATCAAATATTATAATCATCTGATATAATAATGATTAATTTAATCACCCAATCTATAAAAATATATTACCTTGCCAAGCTTCAGCTAATCTTATTAAATCATCATAACCGTTAAAAGTTAAAAAGATCATTGCCGTCACATCATCATATTCAGGTATTAACTCGGCACGAAAATAATATTGATAAAGGTTACCACTATCCGAATAAAATTTTGATATTTTGGGATGCATCATTTTAAATCGAGTTTTATCATTTATTTCTGATATTGGTGATATTTGATTGGTATCTAATAATTGTAAATAATTAAATTAAATAAATTTATTAATTTATTAATTTATTAATTAATTTAAATCAATAAATCAATAATCAATGAATGATTAATAAATAAATGAATAATTAATAATAAATCTTTACCATATGGTCTTTCTATCAGTTCAAAAACTTTATGATGACGTGTTAAATATCTTACAAAATGTGAAAATGTAAATATAACACTGAACATTATATATCCGACCAATAATATTTTTATTATTTTTATTATTTTAAAGAATTTCATTCTAATAAGCCAAATTTTAAAAAAATTCATTCTTTTATGTTGTGACAGTGATGGTGGTGGTAGTAATGGTTTTCTTTTTGAAATTTCTGCTGATGGAAATATAGCTTCGACTATTTTATACATTCTATACATTCTTTTTTTTTCAATTATTATTATTATTATTATTATTATTATTATTATTATATTATTATTACTATTATTATTATTATTTCCTATAATTTTATAATTTTTATAATTTTTTAGAATTTCTTACAAACGAACAAACGCACACCTGGTGCGAGGATTATAAGAATTATCGACTGCGCAGAAATCTCAATCCAAAAACGGATAAATATTCGTGATACAATTTTACACATTGTTACATCCAAATTGAAATAATCATCATTTAGCATTACATTTGTTATTTAGATGTATTTTGAATTTGGAAAAAGTAATTTATTATTAATTTCCCAATTATTATTTTTCATTATTTCGAACATATCCGATGCTCGTTTCATTTCACGTAATGTAATAAATATATACAATAAATAATTGAATGTTATATGATTAGGTATAATGTTCTCGACCTTTTTCATATCATTAAATATTTGTTCTATTATGTTTATGATTTCATTATTATTGTTATTAACGTGATTATTATTAATGCGATTATTATTATTTTCATTTTTGTTATTATTATCACCACCATTATTATTATTTTTGTTATTATCATTATTTTCATTTTTGTTATTATTATCACCACCATTATTATTATTTTTGTTATTATCACCACCACTATTATCAATTTTTAATATAGAAACAAATCTACAAAAGATAAGGTTATAACTGTCAATTGTTGGTTGTACATTAAATATTTTCATATCATTATAAACCTTTCTAAAATTTTCCCAATTTTGTTCTATTATATTAGCTGATAAAAGGGAATGATATGTAGAAAGTGTAGGTAAACATTCTATTATTATTTCTTTTAATTTTCTTTTGTTATCAAATTTTACTCTTAATTCTCTTGATCCTTGTGACTCTTGTAATTCATTTAATTGTTGGAATTCTTGGAATTCATTTAATTGTTGTTGGGATTCTTGTAATTCTCTTGATTCCTGTAATTCAATCAATGCACTTGATTCGCTTGATCTTTGTTGTTGTTTTAATTCTTTCGGCAGAGAAATCATTTTAGAATAAATAATCATTCCAGAATTCAATTTTCCCAAATGTAAATAAGCCCAAATGATTGTATTCCAAGTAAGGGAATCAGGTTTAATCCCTTTTCTGGTCATTACTTCTAAAGTTTTCTCCATGTTAATTAAATCTTTATTTAATGCAAATTTATGAATCAAGGTGGTAAATATTTTCACATTTATTCCAAAGCCTTGTTGAGTCATATCTTGAATTAATAAATTGGCTATTTGAAAATTTGATGCTTTGATCGCTACATTAAGTAATATATTATAAGTTACTTGGGTGGGTTTGAAATTTGATAATCGTTTCATGCTATAAAACATTTTTAATACTTTTATTACATTATAATTATAAATGTTACTATTATTATTATTATCATTATTGTTATTGTTATTACCATTATTAATATTTCTATCTTCAATATCTCTATTATTATTATTATTATTATTATTATTATCTCTATTATTATTATTAATATTTCTATTATTAAAATCTCTATAATTATAATAATTATATTTCTTATTATTATAATAATTATGACGAGATTTTAGAAAAAATGTGATTATAGTATGAAACTCATATCGTGTTATGGGAATTTTATGTAATCTCATGTTTTCAATTATGTTTAATAATCGATTAAAATTTTCGGATTTCAAAGGATTTTGAGTAATTAATTCTATCATCCATCGATAATCAATTAATGTAAGATAATGAATTTTGGATCTTCGTTCAAGTTCTCTGTACGCTCTCCAGGTATTATTTAATTGTCCTCGTGATAATGATCCATAAAAGGAACTTAATAATTCTGTTGTTTTCATGATTTCGGGGGTGAAATTTTCATTCTTCAATTTGTTCCGATCTAAATCTGGAAATTTCATAAATTCCTCTTCACCACCATCATTATCATTATCATTATTATTATTACTATTGTTATTATTATTATTGTTATTATTATCATCATTATTATTGATATTATTATTATTGATATTATTATTATTGATATTATTATTATAATAATCTTTAAAATCATGATCTTCCTTCATTGAATTAAACCTTCTTCGAAAATGTCTATAATTTCGATCATGTTTCTTTTGAAGAAAATAATAAAAAGACTTATTGCTATTCATACTATTATTACCACCACCATTCATATTGTTATTATGATTGATATTTCTAATATTATTATTGATATTGTTATGATTATAATTGATATTACTATTGTTATTGATATTACTATTATTATTATTATTAAATAAATACCAATAATCTATATTGATAAAATAACTTGAGGAAGAGGTGAAGGAAAATAAAGAAGAATTTTTAGTAATAAGAGAATTTATAATGGAATTACTACTACTTGTTTTTGTGTATAAATTGTAAGAATTCATCTATTTACAGTAATATCATCTATTTATTTATTTATTATTATAAATTATAATTAAGATTTTTAATTTAAAAAAAAAAAAAAAAAAATTAATTCATTTCTGATGAAAAAAAAAAAAAATGAAACGCCACCACCAGACTTGATCTTTGTAATGTGCACATGATTCATTGATTCATTGTCATGTGCAAATTTTATAAAAAGATAAATAATAAATTCACACGATTGGAATTATCTTAGACGTTGCAATCGTACTATTTTATTAAAGACGCGCGTTTATAATAAAAGTTTAGGATTATGGATTAGGGTTAGAGTCAAGGATTGGTTAAGGTTAGGATTAAGGCTAAGGGTCGGTTACGTTAGGATCTATTACTATACTTTAGTTTTTTTTTTTTGACACATTCTTATACTATTTGATTGATAATCGTTCCCAAGTGATTTTTTTACTAAATCTAAATTACATATACTAATTTGCTATACTACATTTGAACAATTCAATTAAACTTAAAATGAAATGTTTCAGTACTAACATTTTCAAAGATTAATTTTCCGGTACTATTTCCTCTTTTAAGTATCATTTAAATACTTGCTCCGGTATTTATATTTTCCAAAATAGGTTAAATTATAAAACATTAAAGATATTAATACATATCTAAATTAATCCTTCCAGAATAAATAAAATAATTAAAGGTAGAAAATATAATACTTAAAAATAGATAGAAGTAGGTTTGATTAATTCTTCAAGTTCTTTTTCAAAATTTTCTTCATTCTTAGGTTTAGGAAGATTTGAATAATTGAGAAATCTGCTCGTAAAAATTGCTTCCGGATGTGAATTGTAATTCATCAGAGTTGTAGTTGTCATTAGATTTACCGAAATTTCTTCAGCTTGTTTAATTTGAATCGTAATTTCATTATGATTTTTAAAATCATTTTTTTTATAATCACAATGATATTCCCATAATTCTTGGTATAATTCTTCAAAGGTGGGTCGAGCATCCCAACATCGCATTATTACTCTTGTAATTAATTTTGGTGTGTAAAATGGAATCTCTAGTCGTAATCCATCACATATTTGCTTGGCTAAATCTTTATCATGTGGAATATTATAGTATGGTGTAAAACCAGTAATCATTTCATAAGCTATAACAGCAAATGAATAAACATCCGCTGATTTGGTGTATTCTTCTCCACATAATACTTCGGGAGCTATATAGGGTAATACTCCAAAAATATTTCTTTTTTCAGGATTTTCTAAATTTTTCCCAACTATTTTACTTAAACCAAAATCTGAAATGGATAAAGCTTTAAATTTATTTAATAATATATTTCCAGGATGTAGATCTTGATGGAGTATATTTAATTTATAAAAATTTTTAAAAATACGTGTTAACATCCATAAATAATATAATTTATTTTTCCAATCAAAATTATTGAAATTATTTTTTAAATGATCTCTAAGATTTCCACAAGGCATATATTCGAAAACCATCATATATTTATTAGTTTCTGGATCTTTTGTTATTCCAAAAATTCTGGTTGAATAATTTGAATAATCAAAACCTTTTTTCATTGATCTTAAGAGAATTGATATCTAAATAATGTATTATTTTTTTTTTAATTATAAATAACATATTATATATTTGTAAAACAAATTCGTATATAAATTCAAAAAATACTTTACCTCATTCAAAAAATCTTCATTTAAATTTGCAAAATCATCATCAAACTTTTTTAATACCGCATCATATTCACCCCATCTCTTATTTATATTATCCCATCTATAAATTGGTCCATCAATCCACTTAGTATAATATGTGGTACCAAAACCACCTTTTGAAATTTCCTGAATACTTTTTAATCTATCATAAGGTATCCATTCTATTATTTTTATAAAACCTTTAGCATTTAGTTGATCATCCTGAATATTGTTTGATTTCCACTTGTCCATTTATCAAAATCATTTTTAATGCATGATTTACACCATATTATTTGATTACATTTATTACGTTTCATTTTTTTTTCATTTTCTTAATCTTTGACGACTGAGGTAATTAAAATACGAATGATGTTATTATATGCTGTACGCAATTACTTACTACATAAAGTTAAACAGACCACGATTTAATTTTAGTATCACCACTACCACATTACATTACTATTCTAGCTAAATATATACTTTATTCAATCTTCTCAAAAAATTATTGTAGTAATTGTTAGGGAATATAAATTTGGTGAATGAGTATTGAAAATTACAAACCATTGGAAATAATTCTTCATAATCAAAAAGTCAATTAAGGCTTATTGGTTGACAAAATTCATGGAAATCATTTGTATATATAGATATTCAAAGGTGATGAATTAATAAAGGTAAATAGTTTTTAAATGATAAGTATAATTAAAACAAATATATATTTATATATATATATATATATATATTACATCCAATTTGTTAAAAAAAAAAATACCCATTTCGTCCATGAGTATTTTTCTGATTAGATCTGAGCGTACTACCCAAACCAATAAAACATGTAAGAGTGATCTGTTCAAGAGAACCCTGTACAAAAGAAAGGGAAATATAAGAAAGAGAAAGAAGAAGATTGGTGTTATATATGAAATAAATTTTTCTTCATACCATCCGGGGAAAATTTCTTCACTTGTTATTTTATGAAACTTTTGAGTTATGAGCCTTTATCTCTTCCATGAAAAGGTATATTGTATTAGTTATGATTATTAATAATTAAATTATATTTAATTCAATTTGTATAATTTTTTAAGTTCTAAAATTAAATTTTAAAACATTATAAATACTATTTGATTACAGCAATTACTTAACGTATGGTATTTGTATTATTTGGTACTGTAATTTTGTTTAGAGGACCAATAGCCCACTTTTTAAAAATATTGTCAAATAATTTGGTAATTATATTTTCAAAATCTGCTGAAAGAAGTGCAATTATATCATTTGAAATGATTTCATTATGTCTTGTCTCTCTGATGTTTCTTAAATAAAATGAATTGAATTTATGATTTTGATAATAATAATTAAAAAAAAAAATGAAATTTCACCTTTTATAATGTACATATTTGACAGTATTTTTAAAATATATTCTTGCTTTATCTAATTCCATTCAATGTCATTCCAAGCTCTTTTGCTCCAAGATCAAAAAGTTAATGAAAAATTCTGTATTATGAACTATTGGTAAAAATAAGAATTGAAAATAATATAAAAAAATCAATGTATAAATTTAAAAAAAAAGTATACGGGTCGAAATATTACCATTCTTTAGCTGTTTGAAGTGGTACAAATAATAATTACATAAAGAATTCATAATAATTAAATATAAATATTAAAAATTGTAAATTAAATAATATTGTCTAGATGTTTTACATATTTACAGAAATTATCAATACAACTCCAAGAAAATTAGTTCTTTGCACATGTCAAAAATCAAAAATCAATCAATTTTTTGGCGTGTATTAAAAAAAAAACACAGACTGTTTTCGCTACAACCTATTTTTGCATATTTGTTACCAGTTTTTCTTATTCAACCTGGATTATATACATAATATCATAAGCAGTCTGTATTATTTAATAAGGTATGAACATCAGAAAGATATTGGATGTGTTCATATTCGGATTGGATTTGGATTGGATTTGGATTGGATTTGGATTGGATTTGGATTGGATTGGTTGAGGTCATGTTCATATCATCAAATGGAATGGATTCGTTTTTATCTGAAATTCAATCTGGATTAAATCAATAATTAAATTTCAATCTACCTCGTGGATACATCTTGTAATCTATCTCATATAAGACAATTCCTTATTTTTAAAATTACCTAATATAATATAAGTTGAAGTAACATTTCCAGTATTACCATTGTTTGATGACTAATTCTTGTAAAACGATTCTAAATAGTAATTGGAACTTGATTAGGTGGAGGATGGATAGGAATAAATTTCTTTATAAACAAGATTATATAGTGGAAGAAAGACAGTCAAAACATCAACTTTTATTGAGTCCCTTTCTAAAAAAGTTATAACTAGAATAATAATAGTGATACGAAAAAAATCCTTTAGTAGGATTGTTTATTAAAAGGTAATCTACATTCTTACTGAAGTGATTTTTATTTTAATAATTCTTGCCAAAGTTAAAATATTTTATATATGATTTATGAAATTGGCCATAGGTTTTTTCTATAATAAAAGTTAATTATATTATAATACTATATTTAATAAATATTATTCAACAAAAATTCATAATTGCACCAGTCAATCAGAAATGTACTTGACTCACCTGCGGAGACTCATTAAAAACTATACGATTAAGTTTTATTCAAGAAATTATAAACCAGATAGTGGTCGTTACTGGAGAATCAAAGCATAATATTATCGCGGAACAAACTAAGAAGAAATGGTTCACTTGCTTCAACTCAAAAATATGGCAGAACTATCACTCTGTTAGAAGTAATACGGGGTTTAATCCCAAAAGCCTGCAAAATATTACTAACTAAATTTGTGAGAAACGCTGAAGAACGAAATGACATAATTAGAAAAATATGGAACAACCTAAGTCAACGCAAGTGGGAAATCTGGTTACATAGATGCAAACAATTTATGAATTGGGGAAAAATACAAAAAATAACAAAAAAAAAAAGACAAAAAGAAAAATTTTACAAAAAAGGGCCAAGATAAGTTACTTGATGCAAATGGTAACGGAAAACAATTACATGGGGGAATTGGATACAAAAAATTAAAAGAACAATTAAAAGAAACGGGAACTGAACTTAATAATATATCTATTTCTAATTTTATTTTAAATAGTTGTGATATTCATGACAATTTTTTTGATGTAGACAACTTGGGGGGTCTTGAACTCTTTGAAATAAGCTTCGCTTATCCTATCGTAGCTGGTCGGGCCATAAATTAGTATAAAGGAATTTATATTAGTTTTAGTCAATTCTTATTCTACAAATGTATTTGGTTTATAATTATTCATATATATATTATGCTATTAATTGTAAACTTTGATATAATATTGAATAAAGAATAAGACCTTGCGAGTCCGAAAAAAAAAAAAGAATTGTACTTGACTTGATATTAGCCATCACATCAGAATTTAGGCTTTGTGTCTAATTAAATTCTATCTAGTTAAATTCTATCTGGTTAAATTCTATCTGACTAAATTCCTGGCCCAAAACCTGAAGGTGTAAAATTTAAGAGGTAATTTTATATAATTATCAATTCAGAAAAGCTCTTATACAAAGATACAATGAGATAGTATTCAAAATCAAGTTGATCCAGAATCTATATCGTTAGTAGAATTTAAATAGAGAAATGAAGGCTTAACTAAGTTTAATATGCTTTTATGAAAAACTTCAAAAAGGTTGAGAAGTTCTATAAACTTTTCAATGTAATAGTTATGGATAAAATTTATCAAATACGTACCTTTTCCACTGACAGTATCTCAAAAATAACAAACAAAAACATTTAATGTATTAAAGGTAATATGCCAATTGACTACAGCATAAGGATAACTATTTATTTGAAAACTCTAAATATTCTGAGTTATTGCTACTAATATGATTTAAAAATAGTTATTAAATAATCTTTCCAGCTTCAATGTTCATCAAGTTATAGCTGTCCGAAATAATCTATTAAATACATTAATTACAAATCACAGCCAGCATTATGTACTAAGGAAACAGGAATTGTTTTAAGTCCGGAGCTAAATTATGGCTAGAATTACAGATTACGGTCAGCATTATAGATTATGACAAATTATTAAGAAAAAGGTCTGAAAGTAGATTATAATTCTTTTAACATTTATTAGTAAATAATAACTTTAATATGTAACAATTACAGTATATTGATATTATATTCGGATTTTTTATACCAAATTTGCCTAGATACCACATCTCACGAAATAAAAATATTGAAATTTCTCAACAAATAGGCATCCAATTTTAACAAAAAGGTAGCACCAGTTTTAAGGAATCAAATTAGGCTTGTAGTCACGAATATTTTAAATTTATGAATTTTTTAATAATTTCAGTTGCCTGTACAGAATGATTCACGATATATAGTTAATTACAAGTATACAAATTTAAATAAATATTTTAAGATAAATAAAATCAATATATATTCAATTATCAAAAATATAAATTTCAAGGTCATTTGGTATATATTAAAATCATAACATAAGGCCATTTCAAAGATCATTTGCCAAACACTGTGATAAAGTAAGTTTAAGCATACAGAAATTGATTAAAATAAATAAAGTTTATACTTTAATTTTATTTGAAATTTATATTAATAAAACTTCTCTCTAAGCTAACTCCGATCAATTGAGATGAAAAAACAATCATTTTAAGAAATCTATAAAAAATTTTGAACAAGGTTTGCAACTATTGTGAATATACATGGCATCTAAACTAATTTAGTCTTGACTCAATTCTTAAAATTTCAATTATTTGCATCATTTATTATTAAAAAAAATCAAATCTCAATAGTTTTAGGGACCATTTGACTTGTGATTTGATTTTTGGTCATATTTGTCAAAGATTCAAAAAAATTTTCAGGTATCTTATTAATAGCATATATTTTTCGTCTTTTAATTCGATCGAGTTAAGCAATACTAAAATATTATATCAAAAAAATAATTATCTTTATTGCTAATCATATATTTAATTTACGAGTTAATCTTTTTCTACAAACAAATTAATACAAATATGCAAATATCCCCTTTTTTTATCTGGGTTTTCAAGTCACTTTACCATTTGGCGTTATCACCTGAATTGGGAAAGCTAAATAAAAATCAAAAGTTTAATTCCAAGTAATAACCAAAGTTAAAAAGAATAAATAAAAAGAGTTTAAGATGAGATAAAGACGAGTAAATAAAGGTTTATTAACAATTCAATAATTCAACAATAATTTATTCAAAAACTATTCCCCTTAGTTTCTATTTCTTTAAAAATAATTTTATTTATTTTTAATTATTAACCTTACCTTAATACGTATCATATTGGTAGGTGACAAAGTACTGTTTGTATCACAATTATTATTTGCAATTATGTAATTATTACATAAGTCATTATCAATATAAATAAAAAATGTTTTAATTTAATTAATTTGCAAGTTTATAAGATTATATTTCTAAAATTATATTGATAAAATTCTCTCTGTGAAATCCATCAAAAATCAGTCAAGTGAGATGAAAAACTATTATTTTGAAGAGAAAAAATCTGGAGATTCTAAATATATAAAAATTTTGTAAAAAATCTGCAATATTGAGGGCTTGTAAAATTAGTTACAGATACCATCTTTAATTATCATATACTGTACATATCAGATACCAGATAAGTACCAAGCATTATATCTATCTGGCAGACCTAAATGAATTGATGACTTTTTTCATTTGGGTCATTTCAATATAATTTCAATGACCAGGTCATTTCAATATAATTTCAATGACCAGGTCATTTAATTCAACTAAAAATTTGATTTTTATTGGTACTTTTAAATTACTTTTTGCATTTGGTCATTTGTCATTTGCGAAATGACCATTTTGAAATGACTAAGTTATTTGAAGATCATTTGTGAGTCACTGTATCTGGTAATATAGGAAAGATAAATTACTTCTCTTTATATATTATTTTGTAAAAGTTATCAGCATCAGAAAATTTATAAGGCATAATATGGTACCTACTAAATATTACATAAACTTATGTAATATTCCAGAAATTTACAGAGATTTATGTAAATTTCCAAATATTATATGCATCATATAATATTATACCCTTTAAAATTTCCTGATGGGTAGGAAAAACAGACTTGCAAATAAGCAGTCCGATTTTGACTGTATGTGTCTAAATTTGATTTTTCGACATGTGTACATGGTTATCAGATTGAAACTTTCATATTGTGCCATTAGTGATAAGATTGCACTTTAGTTATCATATTATAAATATACGAATAATAATATAATTATTTATAATAATACATAAATAATTAAAATATATACTAAAAATACGAAGATTTTTTTTTATCACCATATGAAATCTTCTGGTGCATATGCATATTATAATTACTGTAATTACGTGAGATAGTGATCATGTGAAATGAAATTTTGTTGTACTAAAAGTTTGATAATCAAATAATAATTCCGAAACAAAATAACCTGCATCAATTCGTCTCTAATTTATTGTTAAAGTAATACCACATAATTATGTATATATGCTTAAATCAACTTTACCTTTGGTTGCATTTCGAATGGACGACTAAGCAAAAGAAATTTCGAAAAAAACAGGAAATCTAATTTGTAATATGAGCTGTTTCCTATTTTTGGTTTTCAGGAAAAAAACATACGTTTATGTTTAAACATTATTATTAAATAATAGACTAATAACAAATAAAATGAATCTAACATCAAAAAAAAAAAAATTCTTTAATTAATTCTTTGGCATTTGATTTTATTAATTGATGGCAACAATTTTTAACCAATAAAATAATAGGAATTCGATTTCGGTAAGAAAATAAGAAAATTAACCGTTTCGGGCTAAAGGGTTTAGGACACAACGAGCTAAACTATAAGGCGAAATGTAGAAGGACTTTTTGCTATGGGTGAAACTTTTATTTAATTCCTTAGACTTAGGACTACTACCCTGGGTGGTTATTGCAGTAATAAGATTAATAAAATTAAAAGATGGAAATAATATGGGCAGGTTTAGGACGGTTTGGCCCGAATCATTAGTTCCGACAATTAAATTTTTATGCAAGTTATTAAAGATTTAGATATATGTATATTACTGTGATTAGAAAATGTAAACCAATATTAGAAGATCAGTTCTATTTTTTTCGTATTTTTTTTTAAAAAAAAAATAATTGCATATATAAACTTTAAATTATTTGTTTCTGCATAAAAAAACCATGTTGAATCTGGAAATTTGGCTCTCAAAAGAAGAATATACATTATGTAAATTATGCATGCAATTATCGATATTACAATTGAAGATTCTTTGTGTCATAGAATTTTCTTGAATAAATATCAAAACGAGAACGAATCATCTGATGCTTACCGTCGTTATTTTAATAATAATTTTTGCTAAGATCTTAAAACAAAGAATCATATCATATACAGATGGCACGAAACGAGAATTTTTAATTGTCAAGATACAATAGGAAATTACTACACACCACGTGGTGTGCCTTTTTAATTCCAATACAAAATATTTTTTGAACACGACCAGAAAAACTAGGAAAACGTATTAAAAATAAGATCAAAAAACCAATAGGAAAAAAAACGAATATACAATCCTGATACCACGCGACAGTAAAAAATTTGAAATTTGGCAGAATAAGGTTCAGCCTTAAACAAAAAAAAAATTATTTTATTTTCTAAAAAGTAAAATGAATGTTTGAGCTTTTTTGAGAATGAAATATTGTATGCACATTCAACAATAAATTATATAGTTGTTATAACCATTCAATGCAGATTCGGATATGCGAGTCGGCGTTATGAATATAATTATTTATCTTCCTCTCATTTTTAATTTTCCTTTTTGAAATAATTAAATGAACGAATTTCAAATTATTTTCTTTTTTCATAAAATTAAGCTTTTTTTTTTTGACAATTTTTAATTATTTTTTCTTTATTAACGGTTGTGAACATGGGTAATTATAAATTCTTGAATTACTCATTTTAAATAATTCTCAAAAAAAAAAATAATAATTTTTTTTTAACCATTATTTTATCGTACATGCAAATCTTTACACGTAATACGAAAAATAAATAACGGTAATTTGCGAAACTTGAAATAGCTTAAAATAGGGTGAAATTTATTTTGGGTTGTGTTAATGATTTAAACATTTGATTGGTAAAATTATTTTTATTTGTCCACAAAAAAAAAAAAATTTTTTTATGGTAAAAGA